ACAAATGCAAAGGAATGAGAGAGAGTTTACTATCCTGAGATAGTATAATGGCTGCTACCAGAGCCATGAAGTTCTACTCAAGGCATACAGCATGCCAAAATTGAGAAGAGACAAATTTGAGATAAAGAATGCATGGTGGTAGACATATGTTGAGAAGATCCAAACAACTTTTCCAGTCCTGCAAATCTGAGCAGGAAGTTTCTCCACCTTGGGCAAATGATGGACAAAGGATTTAAGTCTAAGAAATCCCCAGGTAGCAGATAAAAGAAATAATCCTGGGATCCTGCTGATATAGAAGGGATCAAGAAGGAACATAAGGTGACTGGGATTGAAGGAAGGACACAGTCATAAATTTTGTCTGAATATTTGTCTGAAAGCAGCCAGGAGAACCCTGAGACTGTGTTCCTGGACAGAGTCCATATGCAATTCAGCATTAGGGGTGAAAGGACCTAGGGGTCAGAGAGGAAAGGCCATTAAAGAAAGAAGAGGGCTCAGAATGGACCTAGGAACTGGAATTGTTGCCATTAAAATTTCTCAATTTTGCTAGAAGGCATGAAAACTTTAGATGACTTTCTCCAGAAAAAGAGGCTATCATTTTACAAGTAGTGATTATTTTTCTCCACAGAATACAGGCAGTTGGTTTCCCCACCAACCTTTTGATAAAACATTTTTCTCAGTTACTGTGTTATAAGGTTATAATTGGTACTTCTCAAACACCACTCAATTCTAGATTGACTAGAATCAGCACAACTAAAATCATGAAGCTTTCTTTTTCTATCTCCCTCTTCCTTTACTCTCCTTCCCCATCACACACACACACACACACACACACAGAGGCATACAGACATACAAGCTAGCTAAATCCGTAGCTGCATCTATGGCTGATAACACATACTGGGTTCTGGGAACAATAGTAGTTTGTTTTGTTTGTCTTCCTTGGTGTTATTGTAGGGAGAAAAGTGATACTAAGATTACAAACAGCTGCAAGAGGCACATTTGGTTGATATTTTGAGCATGTGTGTCTAATAAATTCTGGAATTGCAAGAAGTTACTGTAACACTTCATGGGTCTTGACAGTTTTCTATCAGCTTCTTGGGTGGCTGCAAAGGAAACATGCCATTAAATTACTAAGGACCCAGGGACTAAGAAGGAAATTAAAAAGCATTTCCCTGGAACACTCCTGGCAACAGAAACTGGACTTGAGGCATAAAAAGAAAACCAAAGTCAACAGGCAAAAGAAATGTCAGAAACTAGTTTATAAATGGAAAACTAATGCTCGGGTGTTAAAAAAAGAAAATCGCAGGAACTCAGAAAAGAAAGGGGCCAAGTTTAAGACCAGGTCTTCATCTTGAAATCAAGATAGGAACTAAATAGAGATAAAAGAAGGAGAAAGACCTTTAGATATAGCACTACAACTGGCCATACATGAACTAGAGAAAGGATGTAACCAAAATGAACTAAATAAAGTTTTGAAAACTCAACCGAATCTACATGAAAATTTTCAATGATTTGAAAATTCAATCTACAATGAAAATTTTCAATGTCTACCTAGATTCCAAAGGTAGACAGTAAAAAGTGGTGGGAGACAGGGTTGTTGGTGCTTTCACTAACTAGCCTCTTAGAACTTCTCATCAGGAACTTAGAGACGTAGAATTGAAGCAATCCAGATAGAGGAGCCACTACATTCCCAGAGGCAGACGTAGGTGAACTGAGGGCTTTCACAAAGGAATCAGAGCCAAACCTTGAAGCGTGTGCATTTTCCCAGCATGTATCTTCATCGGAGACCTAACTGGAGTGGATTCAAGAACAGGAGATTCTCATTATAACCATCAAGGTCATCTTCAGTTTCACTCATTCATACAACAAACTGTGATTGAGTATGGCACAAAAAATTGTTTAGAAGCTGAGTATACAGAAGCAAAAATAGGCAGACAAAGGCACTACTGTCTGGAAAGGAAAAGAAAAGAAAAGAAAAATGGAGTAAGTGTGTTTTCAGGTCTTGGTAAGTACAGAAGCAAAAGATTAAAGGGCAAGGATTAAGGGTGACTGGCTTTGGGTGTTCTCTTTTTATAGAGGATAGCACTGGGAGGAATTTCTGAAGAGGCAATTTGAGTGGAGACCTGCATGAATTCATGGCATAAATAAGAGGAGGGGTGTTATAAGCAGTGGGGAAGCAAGTATGAAGACCCTGAGACAAGACTGAGCTTAAAGTGTTCAAAGCAAGATGGCTAGCATGGATGGAATAGAATAAGCAAGCGCAGGAACAACAAAAAGTGAAGTGGGCAAGGTGGACAACAGCCAGACCATTAAGACTTTGATAGAAGGGTAGGGAATCTAGATTTTATATTATGTGCAATGGAAAACATCGGAGGGCTTCGAGTAAAGGAATGGTGTGATCTTATTTACTTTAAAAGGGCTACTCTCACTCTCTCTGACTGACTTATTTCACTTAGCATAATACTCTTTAGCTCCATCTATCACTTCTGGGTAGAGACTATGGGGCAAGAGTAAAAACAGAAGGAACATATAGGAGATTGTAGTAAATGTCCAGACCAGCGATGGTGACTTGGTCTTGAGTGGTAAGCAATGGAAGTGGAGAGAAATAATCAAATGTATTCTGAAGGTAAAGCCAACAAGACTTGTTATAAAAAGATGTCATAAATGAGAAGAAACAAGAATCTAGGATGATTCCTATGTTTGGGGCCTGAGAAACAAAGTGAATAGTGCTATCCTTCAACTCTATATAGATTTTTTTTTTCCTATTATCCTATTGTTTAAAAATGTTGAGAAAAAAAAGAAAGAAAAATCTAACTATGCTAGTCCATCCACTTGCAAAATAGTTTGGCAATTTCTTTTAAAAACTAAACATACATTTATTTTGTGTCTCAACAATCTCTTTCCTGGATATTTATCCCAGAGAACTGAGAACTTATATCCAAAAAAAAAAAAAAAAATTGTACACAAATGTTCACGGCAGCTTTCTTTGTAATGGCAAAAACTGTAAACAATCAAAACGGCTTTCAATAGATGAACAGTTAAACAGTGATATATCCAAACCATGAAATACCACTCAGCAATAAAAAGGAATAAACTATGGATACACTCAACAACTTAGATGGCTTGCAAGGAGTTATGCTGAATGTTAAAAGCCAATTTCAAACAGTCACATTTTGCATGACTCCATTTACATGACATTCTCAAAATCCCAACACTATATAGATGAAGAGCAAAACAGTAGTTGCCAATGCTTAGGGATGCTTTGGGGGAAGGGGTGGGTATGACTATAAAGGAGTAACATGAGGAAGGAAGTTTTTGTGGTGATGGAAAAATTCTGTATCTTGATTTCAGTGGTAGTTAAAGGAATTTACACATGATAAAACAACACAGAACTACACACACATACTGTGTTAGTGACAATGTCGATCATGTGCTGGATTGATTATAGAGGATGTAACTATTGGAGGAAACTAGGTAAAGGGCACAAAGGCCTTCTCCATACTATCTTTGCAACTTCCAGTGAATCAATAATTGCTTCAAAATAAATGTTTTTAAATCTAACTATGCTCGAGTATAAGGTAAAATGCATTATATAAATAGTAAAAGCAGTATAGTAATAAATACCACATCTGACAAAGTGTCGTCTTCTGAATTTATAACGCACCAATACATTTTACCACACTGGGTGCGTAGGCAGCAGTTTAATTAATCATCAGGATCTCTTTGTATGTAGGAACATATTTCCTCCTAAAGGCCTCTGAAGTAGCAGCACTTGGCATTCTCAATCTACCTCCTTACCTCTAAACAGCAAGTAGAACCTGTGTGTTCTGGTTTCTGCACCTGCACAAAGGAGTGTAGAGAAATGGAAGCTAAACTGCTAACATTGGTGCTCCAATAGCTATCAAAAACTTTCAACTCTGAAAATGTGAAAACTGCCTTACATTGACCCAAGATATTGACCTTTCATGGGCCACCTGACACTCCCGGACTCTTAACATCTTTCCCATCGGTGTCAAAATACAAACCTCTGCAATGTGGAATCTCAAAAGGATGGCTCAGACCACAAACCAATGACCATGACCCCAAAAGCTTAACAGGTGCTAATAACACTAATCATACCTCTAGTACGATGATCTTAAGGTTACTCTAGGGGTCAGAACTAGGCTTGGATAAATCATCTAAGTCAACCTGAAGGGGTAGATGATGGTGAAGTCTCCCTCAAAATCTTCTTTTAAAACAGCTTCTTTGATATGTATCTCCTTAATGTTCTGATCTGACATAATCGATCCTCAGTCTGAGTGGAGAACATGTGTTCTTTCACTCCTTAGAGAACATTCTACTCCCTGGAACACCATCCAGACATTTAGTACTCAGGTATGCCTGCTAAATCCTGGACACTTTTGTCATTGCCAAATGAGCTTGTATTTACTAATCCTTTCATTCTCTCAAAGGCTCAAATATTCAACCTAGAGTGTCTGTAATGAAGACCAGATTTATAAAACTTTTTTATGAGTCCTAATTGTAAAAAAACAACATAAAACTATCCTGAGATCAGTGTTAGTCAAGAATTCAATTACTAACTAAAGTAGTTTCTAAACTATGTGTCTCCCATCATATCCTGTCTGCTTTTTTGGAATTTAATGCACAGCCAACAAAACCTATGGGATGTGTTAGATGCTGCCTTTCTAGATGCTGGTCTCCCTTGGAAAGAGCTCTCCCAGATAGGATGCTGTGAACAGAATTAAATCAAAGAGCTCCCATCCTGATTTTTGTATCAGTCTATCTACACTGTTTTTCATGTGCTAATACATTCTAAAAAGTAAAATACATTATTTGCATATTTATATTCTAAGGCTGAATAAAAATTAAACCAATGCAAATAATATGGATTAAACGCCTTTCTGAAGACAAAGTAGTTTCATTTTAATCCTGTTAGAGATTAGAGTCTGGAAAACTGCCAACAACGATTTTTTAATTAAAAAAGAAAAAAACAAGATACTTACAGCCAACCATCATCATGGCCACTGAAAACATCTTCTCCACATCTGTGGTAGGAGCTATGTTTCCAAATCCTATGGTTGTAAGGCTTGTCATGGTAAAGTAGAGAGAGGACACGTACAGAGAATCCTTGCTGGGTCCTCCTTCCCATATCCCTGCACTGGTATTATATCGATACGGAGTCCCAATGCTCAAGGCCAGCTGGTAGAGCCAACTGTCTATTTGGATGGTGTTCGTCACTTCATCGATGACCTCATAGTCCCCAATGCTGTACCATATGCAGGCCAGCCAGTGGGCAACTAGTCCAAACACACATACCAGAAGCACGAGGACTGCTGCTCCATACTCTAGGTAGTGGTCCAATTTCCTAGCAACACGGCCCAGTCGCAAGAGACGCACCACTTTTAAAGAACTGAAGAGACTGCTGATTCCCTAAATAAAAGAAAAGAAATGACATGAGACTTTCAGAAAAGAAAAGGCTGGGGTACAATTCAATGGTTTATCTTCACGAACTTGATTGCCCATCTATACTCTAAGAACATACACATAATATAGCTCTGACTTTAAGTCAACAAAAATGCTGAAACGGTAAAGAAACTTTTCTTAAAAAAAGCAGATTTTCCCCAAAGAAATAAGATATTTCTGAATTATTAAATAAGACAACTTTTCATTAGCTAAGGAAGATCCAGTTTGTCTTCAGAAGTGATGTATAAATAGCACAGAGAAAAACTAAAGGAGAAAATTGCTCAAATGCAATATATACGGAGTACAGAAATAGGATGATGAAATCAGACCGTTTATTACTTCTTCCTATAAAACTTATCCTCTGCTTGAAAACATTTATTTTTTTATTTCTCACTTTATAATAACCATGAGCACCAAACTTCTGAGAAAGGAATCCCAATCTTACTGGCAAGCAAACAGGAAATACTTCTGGGTATGTGGGGAGAATGAGCAGGTGCCATTGTTTCCACTACCTCCTGTCACAGTCATGATAAGCACTAAATTTGTAGAGCTCTGAAAAAGTTAAGAGTTGAACGCAGAATGGGTACATAATCTACAAAATCCTATCATCCCCTAGCAATAGTCATAGAAAAGAATACTAAGGGAACAGCAGCAAGATAATTCATATTTTGCTGAGAAGCTTAAAATCCAAATACAGCATTATCCAAATGGAAATACAGAATACACTTTCTTCAAATACCAAAAGTCCCATAGTAATTTTTTTTTTGGAAGCATATATTAAGCCATGTGGGGAAAGAAGATAAATTCATTCCTGATGCAGGGAGGGAGGTAGAGCTGTGATCGGGAAGCCTCTCATCTGACTATCACCTCCAAATCTCATGAGGTCTATGACTCCATTATTGCTAATTCTTTCTCCCAGGGGGGAGACAAGGAGTCTAGCATAACTCACACTGAGCTTCCTTCTGACCAACACAGAGGAATTGGTTGGTGTAGTGGAACAGATGTGACATTAGTAAGACACTAATTTTGGCATCATAAGGTTCTTGATAGTTAAGATGAAAGGGTTAAGAATGCATTTGGTTGGGACGCATGGGTGGCTCATTTGGTTAAGCGTCTGCCTGCCTTAGGCTCCGGTCATGATCTCAGGGTCCTAGGATCAAGTCCCACTTCGGGCTCCTTGCTCAGCAGAAAACCTGCTTCTCCCTCTGCCTACTGCTCCCCCGGCTTGTGCTCTCTCTATGTCTCTGACAAATAAATAAATAAAATCTTTAAAAAAAAAAGAATGCATTTGGTTATATTATACTCCATATGGTAGCATAGGACTGAGATATTTCAAAATAAATACTTGAAAGAGAGAGAACAAAGAGAAGTAGAAACAAGAGACCTTGTGGAAATGAAAGTAGCAGGAACATTTTGACAGTTTTCTGTCTCAAGCTTAATACCTTAGGTCTGGCTCTATTTCAATTCCTGCTCTTAAATGTTGTGGCATCAATGCGCAGCCTTAAAATAAATTCTCATTTTGCTTGAACCCTTGAGGGGATGGAAAACAGATACTGAACTTGAGGCGGTTAAAAAAAGTAGAATTATGAAAATTCAGAAGATGAATTGGCATAATGCAGCGATGTGAGATCTTGGAAGGTAAGAAGATTCAAGAGAACTTGGAAGCTCTCAGAAATGAAAACTGTGTAATCAGAAACAATAAAGACAAAAATAAGCATTTATTAAGCACTTCTACAGGCCAACGTCTGAGTTAGGCCCTCAGAACATTAAAATAAATATGCCTTGCTTCTGCTCTAAAGAAACCCATAGTCCAAATGCATCACAGACCAAATGCATGACTAAATTGTGTTGTTAAAGATGTTCTCTAGTTAACTTAAAATTTTAAAGGAACTATGATACTTTCGATAAAATACTGCACAGAAGGGGTGCCTGGGTGGCTCAGTTGGTTTAGCGTCAGACTCTTGATTTCAGCTTAGGTCATGATCTCAGGGACGTGAAATCGAGCCCCAAGTCAAGCCCAATGTTGAGCCCTGCATTGGGCTCCAGGCTGTGTGTGAAGCCTGCTTAAGAGTCTCTTTCTTCCTTTCCCTCTGCCCCTCCCTGCCTCTCCCTCTCTCTCTCTCTAAAAAACAAACAAAAACTGCACAGAAAGTCATTTCTATCTGAATTTTTTTTCTCTAAAAACAAAGAGAAGAAAAAAACAGAGAGGAAATCTTTACCCTCATTCAAACTAAAAAACAGTCACAACTCTTAACCAGAACGCGAAAAACCAGGACCTACTAGAATTAGGTCCAAATGGTGGGAGGGCACACTCCCCTGATTTCTGACATAGACAGAGCTCTTCAAAAGGAGGTGGTCCACCCTGAAGGGTACCCGCTCAGGATCCCTTAATCAAACAGCACCATTTTCTAGGGCCATGTCCAACACTACTTAAACATTACAAAATATTTTGTAAGCATTATAAACTCTGCCGCAGGTTCTGTGATACCACTTTCTCCCGGGTTTTACCAACTCCCCAGCTGACATCTCTTCCAAAATCATTTTCTAAGGCTATCCCTCTCTATGCTTCTATGATGTGTTAGGATTCTCATCATGACTATCCTCAGCCCTCTACTGCATATGCATGATTCAACTGACTTTTATATATCGAATTCACCTGTCCACTTCTTAGCACAAAACTGTCTCCTGACTTATTGATACAGAAGCCAAATTGACCTACTGCATATGCATGATTCAACTGACTTTTATATATCGAATTCACCAGTCCACTTCTTAGCACAAAACTGTCTCCTGACTTATTGATAAAGAAGCCAAATACCCACCATACATCTCCATTTAAATGACTCACAGGTGTTCAAAAGGTAATTGGTCCCAAAGGGAATCCCTTGCTCCTCCTGAATGAGTTCTCCATCTCTTACTCTTGTGAGTGACATCATTACCTGCCTCATCCCTCAGACCTAGGGCTGAGCCTCCTGCCACATTCAGCTGGTTATCAAGTGTTATCAAAGACATGAGTAAGTGCTCAAAATACATCTACTAATAAATCTCTCAAAAATTTCCCTTCTTTCCTATTCCCAAGGCCTTGTCTTGGTCATGACTTCATGTTTTTACTTACTTGTGTGGCAGGAAAAGTCTCTCCATCAGCCACTGTAGCTCTGTTCCTACTCCCTTTAATTCACAGATCACACTATAAAGGCTACCAGTCTGGTGTATATTTAAATCATATCTATTTATTCCTCTCCCTCTCCAATCCTGTTACCTCAGACCTATTGGATTAAGTATTAACTCCTTACTATGACATGCAAAGCCCTTCAGAACCTATTATCTGCCTATCTAACTTTTATCTGCCTTCAGAACCTATTACCTCCCACCAATTCCTGCTCCTGCCTTCTATGTTCCAGCCACACTTAGCTACGTGTAGTTCCAAGAGGTCCATCTGTTTCACGCCATGTTACTAGTTACCCCTTCTTCTTAAAGGGTTTGTCCTCCCACTCTCTTAGTGGCTAGCATCTTAAATGCAGTTTATGACAAACACTCTCTCCTCTGTGTGCACTTCCCAGACATCTCCACCATCCCCAACCATCTTCATTGACATAACTTCATCCTCTCCCCCACTGTGAGAGTTAAGTGTTCTTCCTTTATGTTATCATATACTCTTTGCATATTTCTATCACAAGTATCACAATAACACTTTATTACAAGTCAAGCTTGCATGCATGACATTCCAGGAAACTCTAGACCCCTTGAAGAATATATCTAGTGTCAATTACAAAGCTTTGTCTATGGTAATATGCTAAACAGTTGATACGTTCGATGAATGTATGAAAAGACTTAGACAAGCCAAATGTGGATGGTGTAAATTTAGGGAAGGATAATTAATAATAGATGCTATGTGATTTAATAGTAAAATATAGACAACAAAACAGGCAATGTAACTTTGAATTACAGTAATAAAGATATGGTATGAAGAATGAAAAAGAAATTCTCCTTAATTTCTCTAATGACCAGACCACAAGTATAGGAGATACATAAAATATATTCAGCAGAGGACTGCCAAAAAAAGAACTCAAAAGTATACCCTATTAGGAAATATGGAAGGAAATAGAAAAAAGGAGACTGGAGCAGGGCATTATATTTGTGTTCAAATACACAGGGCCCTGATGAGGGTTGAGCTCATTCTGTATAATCCTCATGTAGGTCACCTGAGTCATAGTTGGAGCTACGGGATAGAAGGATACAATAAAGATTGCATCAAGCCTGTACCACACATTTCCACGCAATAAACCAACCCGAAAGTAAGACCATTCATTGCTACTTGGAAAAGACAAATAATTCACAATAATATTGAACACTTACTACAGGCCAGCTATTTTTCTAACTGCCTTATAAGCATTAACTAATTTAATCTTCAACACAATCCGATGTGGTAGGTACCATTATTAAAACATAGACTGGGGGGCACCTGGGTGGCTCAGTCAGTTAAGCAACTGCCTTCAGCTCAGGTCATTATCCCAGGGTCCTGGGATCGAGCCCCGCATCAGGCTTCTTGCTCAGCGGGGAGCCTGCTTCTCCCTCTCCCTCTGCCTGCTACTCCACCTGCTTGTGCTCTCTCTCTCTCTGTCAAATAAATAAATAAATAATCTCTAAAAAAAGAAAGAAAGAAAGAAAGAAAGAAAGAAACACAGCCTGGGGGCACCTGGGTGGCTCAGTCAGTTGAGTGTCTTGACTTTTGGTTTCCGCTCAAGTCATGATCTCAGGGTCATGTGTTTGAGCCCCCAGGTCGGGTTCCATGCTCAGCGGGGAGTCCACTTGGGATTCTCTCTCTCTCTGCCCCTCCCCCAACTCGTGTGCTAGCGTGCACCCTTTCTCTAAATAAATAAATAAATCTTTAAAAATTTTTAATTAAAAAAGAAAAGATAGCCCAGAAAGGTTGAGTAATTTGACTAAGTTCACACAGCTAGTAAGAG